ATAACTATTTTATTTTTAATGCATTTGCTTGGATCAATAGAAATTGTCGATAGTGTCAATATAAGTAGAAATATGCAAATAAATGCAAATGCCAAATGCAAACATTTTCAAATTTGGGAAATTGCATGACAAAATACAGTGCGGCAAAATGTTTTGCGGCAACCAACACATTTGCGCTTTAACTCTAAGCTTAAAAGCCAAAACGATTGTGTAGTTTACAATCGCAATTGCAGCCAAAAATTAAAAAAGACTGTGACCTAAATAAGCAGCAATTTAAAAGAAACTTTCGTTACTTTCATCATGCCCAAGCCCATATTCAGAATATCATCTGCATCATCCTCTCATAATTACAAAAATATTCTTTTATTCGTGTTTCACAAAAGCAGTAGGTCCCTTGTGTAAGCCTTTTGATATTCAATGCATGCGCACAAAAGTATGCTATGGTTTGCTAACACTTGCCTAAAGTCTATGTGCGCTATCGTTAGTATCGATATTGCGTTGATTATGGTTGATGATTATTCAATTACTATTTAATAAATAATGAAAATACGTTTTATAAATAATAAATAATTTTTTAAATTTCTTTGCTAAGTTGTGAACTCCTATGTTTAATTTATTGTTATTAGGCTAAAGGCTGTAAAGTTCTTTTTAAGCTATTTATACAAATTGTATTCCATTTAGCTTGTCGTCTCTGATTTTAAAACTAAGCCTTCCATATTCAGCGTGTGTCATTGGGGCTTGAGAATTTTTGCAATTATTATGCAACAAGTAGCGTCAAGGGAAATCCAAGCAGCTTAAAACATGTACGCGCCTGCTGTGTGTGTGTGCACGTGTGTGTTGTGGGAAATCGCTGTGGTAGAATGCAAAATTAGAATAACCAGAGCAGTGCAAAACCTCAAACAAACATGGGTGTAACTAAAAGGCGACGAACAAAAGACGGACCTGGTTTTTGGTGAGGCAGGGTGAGCGATGACTGGTGCATGCCAACACCATTGTTGCACATGCCGCACAGCGTTGACTCTCCTTGGACGCATTTTCCACTTTAAAGCCAAAAAGGCAAACACTGCCGCAAGCAGAGGTTGCTGCTGCCGCGGCAAGCGTATAACGTGCATCATACCCTAGGTGTGTGGGTGTGTGTATGTGTGTGTGTGTGTGTGACTCGGCTACGTGACTGTGTTGCCAATCCGCCTCGCTAACCGCCCGGCGCCGCTTTGGGCGTGCTAAGCGCCGTTGATGGCCAAGACCAAAATGCAATGTTGCAATTTGCCAAATTGAAAACACGAAAATGAAAGCGGAGCGACGAACCAACGGACTTGACATGACGCAGGGCTACAAAGTAGCCGCCAAGTTAATTTACGCTAACGTGTATGCAGCGCACCGCCCCCTGCCGCCACGCCCGCTGTCGTAACACGCACGTCATTTGCGCGTAATGGGCACTTCCGCTTGCAAAATGGCGCTTGCATTTGGCAACAAGAATGTGGCCGCTAATTCTCTAATTTCCAACGGACAGCGACCGTTGTGAGCATGAACAACTACAAAGCTCACATAGGCTCCTCGCGCCCAGCTCTCACACCATCCTCTTGTGGCTATCTATTTATGGATGCATGCTGCGGCAGGTGCCCCCAGGTTGCACAGCATTTGCATGCCAACTTTAGCCGAGACTGCTGACTGCCGTCGCAGCCGACATGTTTGCGTCGCATTTTAATTAAAAATAACTGCAAAAAAACTGTTTTTAATTAACGGAAATATGAGCAACACGCCGTGCGGCCTGTTGCCGTTGCATGTGTATTATTTGCCTTGTTGCAATTTACCACTGAAATGTGTGAGTAAATATTTAAGAGCTTCATTTGCGAGTGCACATATTTAACTAAGAGGGCGTGAGAGTGAGTGTGTGTGTGTGTATAAGCATGTGTGTGCACAGTACATTCCTGGCCAATATCTAAAAGACCAAATACAACAGCCCCGATTTGTGTGGCTTTGTTTGCCACGTCTAACCACATTGGTATGCTTCGATGCGTGCCACATCCCGTTGCTCATTTCCGGTCAACCCAGCAAACTTCATCTGCTGGCTTTTGTTGCTGTTCATGTTGTTTTTGTTGTTGTTGCTGTTCTGTGTGTGGTCCTCGCATAATTTACCCATATTTGTGGCACACTAATTGCGGCACATCACTTTGTCCGCCGCTGCATTGTAATTTGCCCACGTCGAGCGTCAGTTCCTAAGTTATGCAAATTAGCTGCGATGTTTTGTTGACTGACACAGACCAATGGTAGATAGGGTATAAGGGTATAAGGGATAGGCCACGTCCTGTAAGAGCGACCAAGCTGCAGGCTCTGCGCATCCTAAACACATTTGCATAGCCTTGATTACGCAAATTCACAAACATTTGTATGCCCGTCCGAGTATAAATAATATTCCCCATTATGCTGTGAGATGCAATATATTCTATAATTTAAGCCACAATGGTAAAACTTTCAGCTTCTTGTCAATATTCAATAGTTAAACATTTTATGGTTTATGATTTTAATGGAAAAAAATTGGTTGGCCTGGTCTGGTTCCATATCCACTCCAGGTAAACTTTGGATCAGCTTTAAAAAACAAGCAATTATTGTTTGATTTGTATATTTATTATTGGGTCTACAAATATTTTTCCGATGAAATGATGCCAAATATAAGACAGATGTTAACTTTAAAAATGTATATTAAATTTTGTTTAAAGTAAGTTGCGGAAGGGTTACTATTTTAAAACAAAAACCTTGCCATATATAACAAATCTTTTTGTTTATAAAAATTTATCAAGTCAATGCTTTAATGCCTTACAGCCTTGTCAAGCTGCAAACTTGAATTTCAAATATAAAAGTCAAATCAAAAATAGAATACACTGCAATTTCTTATCGTACATATAAAAATAAAATAAGAAAAACCTAAGGGACTGGTAATGCGTCCATGCTCCACTGCATTTACATATTAAGGCCAACTATAAAAACAAGCGCGTACTGCAATTTACAAGAAGCTCACAAATTTTAGTAGTTTATGCTACAAGTTTATTGCAATTTTCTGGTTACTCAGCCATACAATACGCCCCAGCGCTCACGGGCCATAAAACGAATTTGTTAACCAAAACCAAAAGCGCATTAAAATCTTAATCTTTAGTGTTGACATTAAATTTACAAGCACAATGGTCGAAAAGAGCGCAATGTGAACCGGTATGGCCACGCCCCAATGCTACAAGCAGAAACATAGCCGCCCATAAAAAGCTGGCGAGAACAAAGCAATTTCACACGCTCATGAATGGCAAAGTGATGCACACACACACACACACACACACAGGGACGAATACACCCGAAGAGTCCCTTATAGAGCAGAGTTCAAGAATTTATTACCCAATTTGAAATTGCAAACGAGTGCGTGATAAACCTCGAGGTAGTTGTTGCTGTCGGCTTTGTCGTTGTTGTTTGCATATACCCTGTTTGAGAACCCAACAGAGAATACCAGACATAGCCAAGACACTTAAATTGCATTGAGCATTGAACTCAGAGCTGCATACAGGGTATATCTGAGTCCTGCAACAAACAGGCGAATCCAACCTTTTGCTTGCCATTGTGTGCTTTAATACAAAACAACGTGGTTTATGACAAACGGAAAGAACAGCAACAATAGTGGAAGAGGATGCAAATGCAAGTCAATCCACTGGTCAAGGTGGACGTCAGGTTCGTGTGCAAACAGAATGTAAAAATGGAAATGAGTGTACAAAGCGCAAACACAGCCAATACACACATAAATCTACACCTACACACACACACACACACGCACGCACACGCACGCAGAGGAAAAGGCAATCTCTCTTGGTGAAAATACTAAAAATCAATGTGTACAAGTGGCAGCAGATGGAGATCCATAAAGATTGAACGAACACTTCTTGCCCCCAACTTTAGTTAAACTTGAAGTCAAGGTAAAGCGGCAATTGCAGCTCACAAGAGATGCGCACGTGGCAAGTGCCGCAAGCCTTTCTATGCAAATGCCAAAAGCCATGCTAATGCAAATGCGCATAAATGGCAACTGCCAACTGCCAACTCCCTACGTCCCACCCCTTATCCGCTGCAATTCCATGAACGTGCCACAACGCTCCCCGTTTTCATTTAGAAATATATATATATATACATAGTTTTTGTTGTTGTCAGCTGTGAAATGTAGCCGCGCTTTAAGTGGCTATTCCAGAGTCGCCGGCATTCCCTGCGCCTCTTTACCATTTGCATACATATGAAGTCGCCCGACTTCCTGTTGCCCCCCTTGTGCACCAAATAGCCCGCTCGTTCGCTCCCTTTGCCTAAAATGCACCTTGTGGTCATAAATTTAGCTTTTTACTCCATTGAAGAATTTAAATATATTTTCATTTCGTATACGCCAGCTTTTCGAAATATTTGCGATTGAAATAAACAAATTTATTACCCACAAATAAATTCGATTTAACATATATATTTCTTGTGGATTTTCCATGAGCATTCGAAATCCATTTGTTTGCGCAAAAACAATTGACATTTTTAGAATAGCTGAGCTCAAGCAAAAGGAAACTTAATAATTGATTAGCCACATGAATGTGGCCAGAACGGCAAGAGTTTATTGCAAAAGCCAAAATCTAGAATAAATCTTGTTCCATGGCTTCAAACAGTTTACAGTGTGCCAAATATTATAAGAAACGTTTTGTTTAAAAAATATCAAATAAATAAAATGAATTGAACAAAATATTCGTTACTTAACTTACACACTGCCTACACGTGGAGGATATTATTTAAGCAATTAAAATTTGAAAAATAGAAAAACATGTTTTTATTTTATTTTAAATATAAAACATATTACTTTAGCACGTGTTTATATCATGTTAATTGAAAACTTGTGAAATACCAGACATCAGAACTCCACCTTACACATCGTTCTGTCTGTTCCATTCGGCTAGCTATTCAATCTGCCATGAAATACTAACTTTTTATTCAATGCTTTTCAGTTTTTACAGGCTGAATAACGCTGCAGGCGTTTTCAATTAAATCAAGTTGACAGCACGTGGGGGCAAATCAAACAGAAATGAGCTGTTGAATAGCTGTCAAGGATTAGATAGAAGCTTCCAGCCCATTTGCGCGCGGATATTGAAGGCCGCCAATATTAAAAGAAGGCATCAGGGCCGGAAGCGAACGTGCATGAACTTAAATCTAGAGGCTAATGTAACAGAGACAACCACAGCCACAGGCACAGCTACAGGGGCTGAAGATGACAACACACATCCAGTTGACGGAAACAGTTTGAGTCGCACTCATCAATTACCCCTTCCAGCGGGCACCTGCGCTGCTTCTCTGCCTATTAAAGTCGGAGCTAACCAAACAGCAGGCTGTTAGGCAACAGACGATAGCAACAGGTCGTCAGAGCTTTGCTTAGAGACCCAACCCCAAGCACATAAGTGGCCATCTACGTGACTTTATCAGCACACGCAGCTGGAGCCGCAGTCAAGCGCTTAACTGAAGAGCTTCGCACAAGGTGGAGGCGGCACATTAACCAGCAGATTGGGGCTGATTTACTGGATGTGTGAACAGCTAGAATAATGAATATTTGCAGCAGTCCGGCATCACAGCGAATCCGTAACCGTATCCACAAACAGTGAGAATCATGACCGATGTGTCTGCGGCAGCCGATGGGGTCGCCGGTGGCGCCTGCGAGCGAGCACGCACAACAAACTCAGAGGCGCCAGCTGAGTCTGCGTCCATAACAACGTCTACTTCAGTGTCCACGAAACCACTAATCAATGGTGCCAAAAAGGCGACAACAACAGCAGGAACAGGAACAGCAGGAACAGCAATGGCAACCACAAGCAATCAAGCCAAATTGGAGCGTCACTTGCAGAGCAACAACAATCAACATGCAGCCGCAGAAATGCCAACTTCGCCGTCGTCGTCGGCAATGCCATCGCAGGCATCGCAGCCATCGCAGCCATCGCAGCCGTCGCAACCTTCGCTGCCCAAGCCAAAGGTTTCCGCTGACAGCGAACCGTGTGGACCTGCGGCCAGTGATAATTCGAGTGGCGCGTCTACTTCTTTGGCGTCCGCCAAGTGCAGCAGCAAGCAAGATGTTGACGAGGTGGCCCGCCTGTTTGAGGAGAAGCCCGAGGCGTTTGAGAAATGGCTAACGGAACGTGCCCCGCCTGAGGCGCTGAGTCGCCTGCACGAGTTCATTGAGAGCCGTAAGCCGCACAAACGGCCCTCGGTCACATCGGATTTGTTCCAGCAGTGGATGGCCTCGCCCGTTGTGCAGCAGGTGAGTGTTTGTTAAATATATGGCATACTTTTTGGAGACGTAGACCAAACCACTTGCCCAGCAGCTGGGTAAACTCAATTTGCTGTTGCAATAGCGTGCGCTTGTCTTAAAAATAAATTTCTCAGCTGCAACTCCGTTTGATATTTAATTCATCAGAAGCATCGAGTGGCAGCAACAAAAGCAAAAGTGGAAATACAAATTTTTCACACCAGCTTAACAGCTGACCTTTTTATATACTCTATAGAATGATTTTTAGCAAATGTATGTATGACTTGCTATCTCCAAGTCGGCCACCTCTACTAGAGTACAGAAACAGGCAGTCCGTCCGTATGTATGAACGCAAGGATCCCAGAACCTATAAGAGCTAGAGACTTGAAATTTTAAACGTAGCTTCTTATAGTGCCCGCACAGTGCGAGTTTGTTACCGGCAATCTAGAATAGCCTTTACAGGTCAAGTAATCTTAAAGCTATTGTCTTCCGCCACCTTCACCATTTAGATATAAATTACATTAACAAAGCACTATGCATTTAAGCCACAAATTTTTTGATAATCCACGAATATAATTAATCAAGATCAATTAAGAAGCACAGAAGTTGTTAAAGAAAACGATTTCTTATATCAATTTATATTTTATATCAAAAGTGTATGAATATGTGAACACACACACACATTCATGAGCGTCTTTATTAAAATCTATTAACAGCATTATGTTTTGGTATGGCTTTCAAGTAGTGCACACCCTTACGGTTTGTGAGGGACATATTTAAGCTGCTGTATTTGGTGCTGGTAGAAGAGCCTTTTAACTTGTTTTTAAACTCGAAACGTTTCAAACTAATAGTGCAAATAAAATTACTCTTGTTAGTTCTGTTGCCGTTTATAAATTTATAAATTAGAATTTGTGAATTCGTGCAGCGTTTGCTTTGCGTATAGGAACTTTCTTTGGCTTGCTTTAAAATTGAATTTCCTCGCGCCTTACTGGGCAAATATCTCAATTTGATGTTATTTTTTCAATGATTCACTTTAGTTTGGTGCTCACTGATTGAAAGTTCACTTATTTACGCATACACGACACTGTCAATGTCTATTGCATTGCATATATTATATTGCACATACGCACGGGTGGACAGTTCATGAGATTAATTTCAATTAAATATGTGGCTATGTCATTTACTTTTATACCGGCAGCTTAGCAATTTCTGCAGAGCCTTCGGTGTCATGTTCTTTGGAAGCTGGTGATCTTGAACGAATAATCAGCAATAAACCAAAGTATGTTGCAGAATTCAAATTTATTGGGTTAGATAAATGTTGGCCTTTTATGTTTTTTTTTTTTGTTTTTTTTTTTTTCAACTAACCAACACTGTTGCGCCTGCGGTTACTGTTTCTATTTCTTCGGTTCCTGTTATTTGCCATCAATGCGGCCCTCCTTCTTTCGGCAGCTTGCCGCCTAGCACGATTCCTCCTCCTTGCATTCCTCCGGCGCTGCTGACGCCTTATCCGCCTAATTCGGGTTCTCAGCCGGTTGACTCTAGCTTGAGCCACAGCCAATTGCGCAGCCGTCTCCGTGTCACTTGATGAGCCTGATCCCGTAGAGCTTGAGGGAGAACTTCCACTGCTAGGCGGTGCTGTCGCAGTGCTGCCAGTTGGCGCCGGTGTTGTTTCTGGGGTGGTCGGAGTGGCCGGTGTAGCTGGTGGGGTTGGTGTGGTAGGCGTGTTGGGCGTTATCGGGGTCGTGGGTTGACAGCTAGGGTCCGATTGGTTTTCAACAATTAAGCATTCATCTGCATCGCAGGCGCCCTCTATTTTACATGCATTGCTGCCTCTAATGAGACAAATGGCCACAATGGCACAGCCAAAGATCACCGTTTGGACTCTCATCTCGATGCCAGCGAGGTGGTTGGAATGTCTTCCTATGGGCCCGGCAGACGATTTTATAGCGATTTGGAATCTATTAATTTGATTGTTAGTGAATTGAAGCAGCTGTAACAACACATGGCACATCCAAATCATGTTTAATGAATTTTTTTTTTTTGTATTGTTTGTGGTAGACCGGGCAATTGCATTGCAATTTCTATTAAATTGAATTTGACTTGTTCAATATCAAAAGTATTTCAATTTAATATTTAATTAGCTGTTCTTAACAACCATTTGGTTCATTCTAACACGCGCTGCCAAATCTATGACGAACGCAAAATCTTCTCCGAAACATTCAATTGTTCTTAAGCCCACTTGTTTAGACAACTTTTTAGGCAATAAAAACATTGCTTTTATTATTAAATTTACTTTCAATTGGTTCTTCCATCTATAATTGAATTCGCTTAACCCAGAAACTTTGTACTTGATTCTTACTTGATTGAAAGCTAATTGCTTACGTTACGTTACTTAATACCTTATACATTGAAAATGTTGTATTCTTTTATCATAATTCAAAAACAATTGGTATGTTGGCTGAGGTACAGTATAGTCAGATATGGATAACTCGACCATTCCTAAAGCCAAGCTATATAAGGCTATATTTTATGATTTAAAGAGTATAATACTTTAATCAAAGTATTATATTAGCTCTGGGCTACAGGGGATTTTGTAACCTACAATAGTGTTCTTAATTGTCTGAAGAATTGGTAAAAATTATTTCAAGTTTTTCTTTATTCCTTTCATGTATTCACTGTCTTTGTCTATGTTTAAGGATAATGTATATTATATGTTCAATGTTAGCAGCTTCATTTTGATTCCATCATATTGAATATTGAAATCCAATTTTGAAAATCCAAATTTTTCATAATATTCAATTTGTCTAAATATATAGCATATGTTGAAGGGATTTTTTATTTCTAGAGTAGAAAAGCTGATGACTATAAAACTGGTAAAAGTTTTATGGTAAAAGTTTTGTATTCATCAGCTTTTCTACCCTAGAAATGAAAAAATGTTCGCGCGTTTAACAAGAAGGAATTTTTTGAGGCATAATTTAAGGCGTGACACTTGTTAGATATAAGAATGCCCTAGTGCAAACATTTAGATTATTCTCAGCTGAATGAGGATGTTAGATCAGGTGAAACTTAAAAGTACAAGAATATTTAAGGATTGTGTTGGTAAATAAAATAAATTATCTAAGTGGGAGATCCAATTTGATATACACTATCAACTATTTCGACGCAAATACTTATATTTAGTGATGAAATATTGATTAACTATTTTGTTATAATAAAAACAAAAAAAAATTCAAATTTGTGTCAATTAATATCGAAAAAGAGAAAAAACTATTCTGGGTAAGAATTATGACTGTTCAATCGACATAGGACAACGAACATTCAAACAACAATCGCATTTTGTTTGCCATGATATATGTACCCAATCGACTTGACGTAGCTCTAGAACTCAAAAATATGGCATTTTCCAAAGATAATTTGTAACAACATTTTGCCTTTTTACTGTACATTGCCCAAAAACTCGAATATTTTCTGATCACACAGCATGCAATACTGGGCCAACAGCGTTATCTGGATTTTTGACTGAGATAATGTAACTATTTCACTACAATTTTCATGTAAGAGACAAGTGTGTTGTTGGTTATGCAATGTAAATATTTATTGAAAGAGTTTGGTTAGATCATTAACTGGGTTTCATTAGTTGGCCTTGTTCCATTTCTTAATCTTCTTCGCAACACTGATCGGCACCAATATTTTGGTCCTTTTGGTGTTCTTGGATTTCTTGGTTGTCTTGGATACCCTCCGAGCAGTTCTACATCTTGTCAGCCTCAACCTAAGGCGCCTGTTCTGCCTACGTAGGGCAACAATTCGTCTGCGAAGGCGGCGAATACTGCTACTTCTAGAAGATGTCGAGCTTGTCGTAGATGCAGTAGTTGCGCTTGAGGAAGCAGTAGTAGTAGTGTCAGATGTCGCACTGGCAGCAGTTGTTGTCGCTGTGCCAGAAGCTGTCGTCGTTGCCGCCACGGTAGTTGCACCTGCGGTCGTAGTGGCACAGCTAGGATCTGATGCATTGGCAGCGTCTGCGCATTCGGTTGCAGTGCAGGCGCCGGCTGTTGCACATGCCGCATTGCTGCCTCTAATCAGGCAAATGGCCAAAACGGCACAGCCAAAGATCAACGTTTGGAATTTCATTTCGATGCTAGAGCGAGTGTTGGATGTGAATGTCAAACTGGGGCTCGGTCTGCCCATTTTATAACGATTTTGAATTTCCGCGTTTCAATATTACAAGTTTATTCGGCTGTGGCTTCAGAATAAACAAATAAAAAATCCAAAGTATGCTTACATTTAAGATCTGATTTTTCTAATTTCCGAATTAAAGGGAGTATTCTCACTTTGTCGCCAACTGCTTAACACTTGGATAGAATAATATTTTCGATAGGTTTTTTTTTTTAAACATTTGAACAGCTGTTTTACGAGTGTTTTGGTAGGGTATGCCATAGAACCCTGAACCTAGCGTCAAGCTACCGTTACAAGCATTTAAACACTCTGCTGTTCATATATACATAACAACACTCAAAAGTAAACCCTCTGAAATACCCACGTCGCTAAGTGCGCACGATCAAATGTTTGTGTACGGATCCAACTTATTTGTATGTTTTTGTGTTGTACAAATCTTTCGACTATTGGAAATTTATTTATGTAGGTATGTGAAGAGAATATTTATTTAATGGTAAATGTTACCTGTTTTGATTCGCGTTTATCATTGATGTTATGCTATCATATTTTGCCAACAAAATTAATATTAATAAATATAATATACTTATGTATGTGTTATTTTGATAGATTATTCTCGTGTTATTTTATTATTATTTATTTTTATTTATTTTACATTTTATTTGCTTTACTTCAATTTTACTGTTTTTATGGAAGCAACTTAGTTTAAATGTATATGAATACAACTTAGGACTACAAATTTACAAAGGTTGGGTGTTTAAATAATCTGAGAGATCGATTGGATGAAATCGTCGCAATCTTCTCCGCATTCGGACTCCTCAATTCAACGCCTCTTTGAAGCC